GTCTCTTCTGCACAAATACACGGTGATCCGCGTCGCAGGCCCGGGTGGTGTTTGCGGAGACGCATGGAAGCTTCTGCTCTGATGCCTGGTGCAGGGCACGTGTCCAGGTGGGCTGCCTCCTTCCCTTCCTCCTCCTGACGGCCGCTCCTGTCTGTCTGTCTCCCTGTCCCTGAGCTCAGGGTAGATGGGCCAGGGGGCAGCCCTGAGGGTCAGACCTGGAGCACCTGCAGTTACCTGCCCATCTCTTGCGGGAGGAAGGGGAAAGGCAGGGAGATGGTCGAGTGTGTAACTGTGCAGACCGGCCCGTGGATGCCGCCCTGGTCAGCACCGGCTCGCCCGTGACAGAGTCCTAAAGCATCACTGAGCCTGGCTTCATCGTCCCCGCCCTGTGGTTTCCCAGGAAAGCCAGTCTTCGAGAGCACAGTTACATGCACAGAGACGTTGGGTCACGTGTCGTCTTTGCGAGCATGTGTCCACACGGGACCCTAGAGGTAGCCTGGCAGCCCTTGCGGTAACAGACCGCACCGGCACGCGGGCCGCCTCACAGGCAGCCTTCCTGCTGATGGGGATGAGAACGTGTTTATTGTATGTGTTGAGTTGCTGTAACTAGGATTTTGTGGAAAATTTCCCTTTTTATAATTTGCTCTGATTTGGTAATATCACCCGAGTATGTACATACATTTATTAAAACAGTAAATTTTTTGAAAGAAATATGTGTATATGTGTAGGTGGGTGGGTGGGTGGGTGGGTAGGTGGGCGGGCAGCAGGGGCTGTTGGCCACGTTGTTGCTGTGTTGTCGCGCAGCCTGGAGCCGCCCTCTGGCATCAGGGGCAGGGTGCCCCCTCCCCGGCCTAGACGCCGAGCCTCCCTCCGCCCGAGCCCAGGCAGGAGCAGTCTGCACTGGGGGCTGGCGCGCTCCAGACTGCAAGGCTCGTTTCCCAGCCACTCACTAGTTTTCAACCTGGTATTTGAGATCTTGTGTCTCTAAGTCGATCTAGTTAAGTAGAGTGCCTTCAGCAGAACCACTGCAGTCAGCTGGGGTCAGAGGCAGGTCAGAGGTGAGGGGTCAGAGGTGGGGGGTCAGGCAGGGGGTGGGGGGGTCAGGCGGTGGAGGGGTGGGGGGTCAGAGGTAGGGGGCGCCCGCTGCGTTGCTCACAGCCCCACGGGAAGTCATTTTAGGTTGAACTGTAGGAACGGCCAGTCACCCCTGAACCAGCCGTCTCCCATGGTCTGGCCTGCGCACCTTACGTATTTCCACCAGGAGCCCTCCCTGTGGCTGCTGTGCCCAGGGTGCTTGGGCAGGGGGCCAGGTGAGCGGGGCGGGGGTCGAGGAGTGAGGCGGACTCAGGACCTGCCCCAGGGGCGGCGGGCTCAGCGGTTCTTCGGAACTTGGGGGTTTATTTTACGGCTCCATTTGTGCTGCTCCTCCCAGTAGGTGACGAGGGTCCGAGGCTGTGTGCCTCCCCACGTCCCAGCCTACATGCAGGGTTACCTAGCAAACCAGGCGTTCTCTGTCGTGCACACGTGGATTTGCTCTTGGTGGGGGCGTTAACATGAGCCTCCTGGGGTCTCCTCTTTGGGGTTAGAAACAACCAGCACGTGGTCGGCTTTGAAAGCTGTAGTCTCCGAGATGTCCAAGCCCCCACTGCAGTCCACGGACCCGGTGTTGGGGGGTAGGGGCTTGTCCCTCTGAATGCTTACAGTGGCCTCCAAGATGTCCAAGCCCCCACTGCAGTCCACGGACCCGGGGTTGGGGGGTAGGGGCGTGTCCCTCTGAATGCTAACGGTGGCCTCTTCTCTCCCCTCGCTGCCTGTGGCAGTGAGGAGTTGGGAGAGTTCATGGAGATGAAGGGCGCCAGCAGCCCGGGCATCCTCGTGCTGACCACCGGCCTCAGCAAGCCGTTCATGCGTCTGGACAAGTACCCTGCGCTGCTCAAGGAGCTGGAGAGACACATGGAGGTACCCCCGAGCCGCTGCCATGGGTTTCCAGAGTGGTTTTGCTGAGTACCACACGGTTTTCCCTGGCCCAGCTCTGAGGGTGGCTGTGTGCCCCTTTGTCTCCTGCCTCATCCACCCCTGCTGGTAGAGGGACTTCCAAACCTGGGAAATGTTAAGCTGAGTTATAAACAGCACTGGAGTCCTCCGGGAACAGCCGTCTGTATGTGTCAAGTGCGTGAGTTGTTGAGCAACAGTAGTAAAAGATTCTACTGATGATAAATATTTACCGTGCTCTCTGCCAGCGACTGTGGGCCTGGGAGACAGCTGGGGTTGGGTTACTGGCTTGCCTAGGGTGCAGCGAGCTTTCTCCCAAAAGGCAGGCCATCTGGTTTCCTTCATGGCTGCTCACCTCTGCCCTTCTGTGACGAGTGGGTGTGGGGGTGCCAGCTTTTCCAGATTACTGTCCATCAGCCCCATGACTCTCTTGAAGACTGACAGATGGTCCTCTAATGCAGAGAAGAATCGGGCAGGTTACATGTTGAAAATACTGGGAAGGTTTGAGCTAGTCCACAGAGCGCCTTTCTAAGAAAGACCTTTTCACTATGAGAGCTAACGGTGTGCTTCTTTTGTTTAAAGGATTATCATCCAGATAGACAAGACATTCAGAAATCTATGACCGCCTTCAAAAACCTTTCCGTAAGTGATGAAGCATGTTGTTTTAAGTTTTCTTTTTCCCTCAGACATTATTATGGCAAATGAAGGCAGAAAATTAGTTTTGTCACCTCAAGTTAGATGATGAAAATTTACTTGTGAAGTAGAACCTGGGTTCACTCGGGAATGAAAACAGCTTTGTAGTAGTTATTCCGTGGCTGCAAACTCTCATGCTTTCCTGGACTGTGGACACCAGACAAATGGGATGATAATTGTTTAAGTTTTGAAACAGTGCCATAGCTACTTAGGAATGGCTTAGAACATGTTTTTAACCACCACCCTGTGTCTTTAGTGACACAGTGTGGAGTGGGGTCCCGGCGGGTCTTTTCATCTGTTGTCATCTGTCTTCCTGACAGTGTTTTCTGCAACACATGCCTTATTTATAGCACAAGTGGTGCTGACCCTTCTCAGTCTTCTCTGTTGGCATTCACTCATAGATCAGAAAATACTTTTCTTGTCCAGTCCACGTTTCTTCTGACAGTGGCAAGATGTGCTCTGGTTTCTGCATAGTGTCTGTCCTTCCAGAGCTGTTCGTGTGTGTTGTCTCTCTTGACTTGATTCCGTGCCTGTGAGTCACACAAGTTGCTCAGTAGGTTACCTGTCTTGAGAAGAGGTAAGACACAAAGCAGTGTGGCCAGCACACAAGATTCCACAAGTCCTGGTCTCCTGCTTTACCAGCGCCGTCCTGTGCTTCTCAGGCCCAGTGCCAGGAGGTGCGGAAGCGGAAAGAACTGGAGCTGCAGATCCTGACGGAGGCCATCCGGAGCTGGGAGGGGGACGACATCAAGACCCTGGGCAGCGTCATTTACATGTCCCAGGTCCTGATTCAGTGTGCCGGGAGCGAGGTATGCTGGGGCACGGGGACACGAGGCACCTGCCCCTGTGCTGGCCGAGCTTTGCTCTCACGCCCCTCTCTGACTTGCATTCCTGAAGCCATTCAGAGCCTGGGACAAAAATTGAGTTAAGAGCCAAACATAACTTGTATTAAATGTAATTTGTTTTCTAAATGCTTTTTAGGATTCCTCAGCCACAGTCAAAACTGTAAATTCTGTAGAATGTTACGTTTTCATGCTCATGTTTTAGCAAAGTTTAAAGGAAGGTCAAATGATGATGACATTTAACGGGTCTGAAACCAGATCTTTGTGACAGTAGCCCCACGCCGTGCAAACTGAGCAGTTTGTGCCTCACTATTCCTGGGAGTTACATGTTAATTGGGTCAATAGGCAAGTACCTCTTTTTGCGTTTTATTCCATCCTTGAGGAGAATAATTACTGCGATCAAAATATGCTAATGACGCATTTTCAAACATGAGACTCTTAGGCTGGTCAGAAAGCTGAAACTTAACTCTCAAGGCACATTCCTTCCTGCCTGTCAAAGTTTAAAGTGATGCTCCCTCTCTGGGTTCCGTCGGTTCAGAAGAACTTACGACGGCGTCCTGGTCCGCTGCCCTGATCAAATGCCCAGGTCTTTCACATAATCTGGGTAAAGT